ATGAAATTTTGCTTGTCAGCTTACAATTATTTCAACCGCTGACCTTTTTTCAAGTAAAATTCTTACAACAAATATTGATTAAAAGTTTTTCGTTTTTTTGTTGTTATTGTGTAGTTAAAGTTTTTTAATATAAAACGCACTGAAAAACAATTTAAAAACTAAATTCAAAAGTTAAAAATAAACTGTCAAAAACACAAAAAGTTCAATAAAATGTTAACCATTTTTCAACGAGTTATTTTTTTAGTATGGGACTTTTTCAAAGATTTGCTTATAACTCGTTTTGATATTGTCGTTACCTCAAAAAATGTGGTTAGCAAAGACAGACGAATGGTCGTTCACTTGATTTGTATCATCATAGTTTCCGTGTACGGCATCGGATTTCTCGAACTAGAAGCTACCGGAAAAGTTAACTGGAATGGCTTATGGACCAGTGCCTACCTCTATACTTATCAATTTGCACCAGTTCACATTCATCCGCAAATTAACCAGCTTATATTTGTGTGCACGGTTTCAGAAGTGCTTACCTTTTTATCGTACATCTTTATACGACCTGTTGAAAAAGAGTTTTTGCTAATCAAAGTTGATGAACACTCCATTACAAAAAACGGGTCACCGGTACCAAATGATATAACAGTTGAAATTTTGAGATTTAGAAAAAAGTACAAAAAGCTACTTTTATCAATTGCGACCGTCGTCACCTTTTTGTCACTAATTTGGTTTTATATTAACGTCTACCTCAATGGAAGATACGTGTTTTCAGTGCACTGCCTATTTTTTTACTGGGCATTTCTGTTCTTTTTTGGCGTTATCTACTTTTATTTTAGTAATTGTTTTTGTGGGTAAATATTTAAAATTTAATTTTTTTGTTTTTGTTTTAGCGGTTCTCGGTTTTCCGGTTTTTGTCATTCTAACCAGTCGTTATGTGGCAATACAGCAGCGTCTAGTTTTGCTAAAGATGAAAACAATTTTGAAATTGAAAACCGATCATTTAATACCTCGGTTTTCTCTGCTCAATCGCCAATTTATGTCTATCAATGGCGATCTTCAAGAGTATGCACGATTTTGGAGCCCATATCTAACAATTGCGCTGCCCAATCTAGTGATCACGCTAACGTATGAAACTTATTTCCTTACCAACAACAATAACATACCTTATATGCTCAAATATTCTTTCTTTTTGGCTGTTTATAATCTGATTCTTTCACTGCATCTTATAATAAGCGAATGTGCTCGAGTTGTAAAGCTTAATGTAAAGTGTTTGATTGAAAACAGAAAATTTTTCTTAAAACTAATGCAGCTTAAAAATGGCATGAAAACTTTAACAAATTTGTTAAAGGTAACAATAATAAATTTAAAAAACATTAAATTAAAACATCGGTTTTTTTAAGATTGAATCATTTCAAGAAAATCGTCGTTTTAAAGTGTACGGCTTTAGGCTTCTTTTTGGCTATCGAATCACTTCAAAAACTTTTCATACGGTAAAAGTTAATTGTTTATTTTAATATTGCTGTTAATTCATTTTATTATTTTAAGATTATATCTTACATAGGTGTGCTTATTTTGATTCTTTTTAAAAATAAAAATATAGTTTGATGATTATAATTGATTTATTTTGTTGCTAGTCAAAATTCCATGTGGGCTTGCAGTTTTCAATTTTTACTCTGATTACTTGCTGCATTTGAGCCATTTTAAACATGTTGCCTGCCNGATTATAATTGATTTATTTTGTTGCTAGTCAAAATTCCATGTGGGCTTGCAGTTTTCAATTTTTACTCTGATTACTTGCTGCATTTGAGCCATTTTAAACATGTTGCCTGCCTCACCTCTCATCAACCTTTACATGCACCGTTTTGGATCAATACAATTTGAAAAACAAAAAATTTTACTTGTTAATTTTCAAACATTTCAACAGCTAAAGTTTTGTTTTTCAAAAACTATTGAATAAAATTTTTTGTTTTTGCTGCAATTGCTCAGTTCATCTATTCATTACCTACCTCACTTACCGTACAGCTGCACCAGAAAAAGATCAGAACTTCAGTGTAGAGAAAAAAAGTTACTGAAACCAAAGCCAAAGAAAATCTTTGGCGCCAAACCAAAGCCACGGCTATTGACACTGCGGCAACAGCCGCTGCCACCATTACTACCTCACCGGCCCACCGCATTTTTTGCCGCATTGTGTGATTTTTTCGCTGTTTGACTTTTGCACCGGTTTTCGGCAAAACAACAAAACAAAACTCTTTCATTTTGGAGCATCTTCAGATCACCATCAACACTTCAGAACATTAACAACATGTCCATCGGCGTTCCAATCAAGATTCTCCACGAGGCAGAGGGCCACATCATCACCTGCGAGACAAACACCGGCGAGGTGTACCGCGGCAAGCTGGTGGAGGCTGAGGACAACATGAACTGCCAGATGGCGAACATTACCGTCACCTACCGAGATGGGCGAGTCGCTCAGCTGGAGAACGTCTTCATCCGCGGTTCAAAGATTCGCTTCCTCATACTGCCGGACATGCTGAAGAATGCACCGATGTTCAAGAAGATGACGGCTAAAGGTGGCGGAGGCGGCGGTGGAGGGGCAAATACGGCGGGCAGAGGAAAGTCGGCGATACTGCGGGCGCAAGGTATGGTGGTGATAAGTTTAGTATCTCCATTTTCTAATTATCCCATTTTACTTACAGTCGCCCGAGGCCGTGGTCGCTCGGTGGTGCAGCGAGCCATCATTCATCGCCGTAAGTAGTTTTTTGTTTGTTTGTAGTAAAAGTGATTTCTAATTGACATTTTTCATCATTGACAACAGGTTAACACCCTTCTCCTTTCGGTCCGGTCTACAGCAGCAAGACTTGGGCCTGATCTCAACGGGAAAACCGTTTCTCCTTTTTTCTGCTTTCCAGCAGCAGCAAAAACCGAAGCATCGAAAAACGACCATCAGCGCACTTCTTTTCTTTTTGTAAACTCCTTTCCTCCCCCTCATCAAAGCGCGTTCTATCTGTCTTGTGTACTACTACTAATGAATAAACCCGGAGATGATCTTCGAGTGTTGTATCAGGACAAAAGAGACCACTTCTGATTTGTGAGTTTCAGTGGCGGCAGCTGACGGCGCTCAGTCTGTTGGGTGATGATTTTATCCTTGGCCTGCTTCTCAACTATCACCACCTGCACCTGTCTTCTCTGATGGGGATGATATCATCTCAGAGATAATCAAAAAGCTTCTTTTCCACTTCTTAGTCAGTTNCTTCTGATTTGTGAGTTTCAGTGGCGGCAGCTGACGGCGCTCAGTCTGTTTGGTGATGATTTTATCCTTAGCACCTGTCTTCTCTGATGGGGATGATATCATCTCAAAGATAATCAAAAAGCTTCTTTTCCACTTCTTAGTCAGTTTAGTAGGTTTTCTAAACCGCTTGCATTGATTGCAATTTTCTCTTTCTCTTTTTGCACTTAAAAGTACTCGTTTCGGTGTTTTAGTGTTGGGTACGAGGGCGCTGCCGCCCGCCTAGCAGCACAGACTGGTTGCGTGTCAGCGTAACGCCGTCAGCGAATGACCCACTAATCACAACAATGTTTCCTGCAGCTGCGGCCGCTGCTCCAACATCACTAAAGAGAGAGAAGTACACGTTCGCTTACGCCGTCAGCCTTAGCGGCGAGTTTACACTCTCGGAGAGAGAAACAACAACCAACTTTTCGCCAAAGTCTAGACGTCCTAGAAGACCATTAAACCCCACCTTTTCCTCTTCTACAACCAGTAAGAACAGCAGCAGAAGGACCAAATGCATCAGCCGCCGCCGCCGATTCAGTCGCAGCCGCTGGCGAACCACCAGCTTCCGCCGTCTTATCAGCAGCCGCAGCAGTTTCAGCCGCAGCAGCAGCAGCAGCCGGCCATGAACTTTCAGCAACAGCGGCCCCAGCCATTTCAGCAGCCGCCGCCGCCGCCTCTTCAGCAGCAGCAGCAGCAGTTCCAGCAGCCCCATCAGTTTCAGCAGCCACCGCCTCAGCAGTTCCGGCAGCCGCCACCTCCGATGCCTCCGCCGACACACCTTCAACAACAACAACAACCTCCAACACAGCATTTTCAGCCTCCGCTGCCACCGCCTTCGCAGTTTCAGCCGCCGCCGCCGCCGCCACCGTCCCAGCAATATCAACAGCAATATCAGCCGCAGCAACCACCACAGCTGCATCATGCGCCTGGAGGCTATCCAGCCGCTCCGGCCCAGGCCGGCCCCGGCATGAACGAGCTCACCTCGAAGATGGCCAACATGAACGTGGTCAATCAGGGCTGGAATCAGATGTGGGGCGGGGGTAGTGGACCGGGCATGCACGACTCCGTCAACCTGATGGCGGAGAAGGAGATTCGCACCCGGTGGCTGGCGGAGGAGGCGAACAAGAGGGCGGCCAGGGAGGCGCAGCAGCTGGCTCAGGGAGGAGGAGTTCGAAATCGAGGAAGAGGAGGAGAGGACAGCGCCTCCTCCGATGTGATGCGCTGCACCCTCAAGAAGGTGCCCGACTGTGCTAGTCTCCTGCAGAAGAGCCGCCTCCCGCTGGGCCTCATTCTGCATCCCTTCAAGGAGGACCCGGTAAGTCTTTGCCTTTACCTTTAACTATTGAAGTTTTCTAAATCCCTTTCACTCTCTTTTCAGAACATTCCGCTGATCACCGAGTCGACCATTGTTCGCTGCCGTGCCTGCCGAACCTACATCAATCCCTACGTCCGCCTGCTGGACAGCAAGCGCTGGCAGTGCAACCTCTGCTCACGAGTTAATGAAGGTGAGTAGGGGGATATTTT